GAATCCCGACCACTGGAACTTGACATCGGCATCGTCGGCCTCGCAGGACCTGGATGACATACCGGGCCTGGAATCGAGCAACAGCATGTTGCGCCCGGAGAAGGAGCTAAGGTTCCTGCCAATTGATTTGAAGAAAACATGGAGAGAAGGAGCGACCGGCAGGGAGCGCACAGAGGCTGCACAGGACCGGTCCTGGTTCCTGGGCGACCTCATCGACAAGCACTGCCAGGCAGGAGATGAGCAGGGCCGGGAGAATGAGATTCTGGGAGAGCTGCAATTTGCCTTTCTCATGGTCCTGACGCTCAACAACAACTCTTGTCTTGAACAGTGGAAGCGACTGCTGCGACTGCTACTCACCTGTCGGCAAGCAGCCAAGGAGCGCTCTCATCTTTTCCTGGACCTTTTCAAGTGTCTGCGTATCCAGCTTGGCCACTGCGCAGACGCCGAGGGCGATTTATTCGACATGAATGACGCTGGCGGGGGATTCTTGCGACCACTGCTGGGCCAGTTCCGAAAAGGGCTTCAAGACTTTGATGGCAAGTGGAAAGCTGATATGGTTGATGAGGTGGACGACTTGCAGGAGTACATGGAGAAGGAGTTTGGATGGCAGCCCGAAGGCTCGTATCTGAAGCGGGGCATGTTGGAGTTGGAGGACGGAGAGCGCGTGGAACTGGAAGTCAATGGTGCAGATGCAGAGGACGAGGTGGGCGACTATGCGCCGACCATTGTTGACCTGACCCCAGAGCAGCACAAGATGTTACATGGGACAGATTCTGAGCCGGCCAAAGACACCAAAGACACCAAAGGCGATGCAGATGAAGAGTCAGAGGACGACGTCGATCTGGAAGACATGGATACACGCTACTGAGCGGCACGCACAGCCAGTAATACGAAGCCGGACTGCCAGGTTACCGGCTTCATGTTAACGAGTGTCTGACGGGCGCTAATCAACATGGACGCTATGCCATCAAGAATAGGTGGCTGCAGGAACCGGCCCATGGTTTCATGCAGTCGGAGGAAATGCGCTAAGATACAAAGTAGGTACACGTGTGTTGATCGCATCTACGCCGCAGCACAGCCCTGCGCAGTACATAATGTCTAATGCCATGGTTGCTCGACCCGGAGTTGAGGCAAAGAAACGTGACGATACAAGGCAGAAATTACAATGGCTTGCGAGTGCCGGTATCCGGGACGGGACCAGCAGGAGAATGTCTCTGGCCCCCTAAGTTATATCCGATGCCGGTGCGGTTGAACGACGTATGGAAATTAGGCTTGCGGCCTTCCCGCCCTCGCCAAACCCTGCTGCGCTATTAACCCGCCTTGTCTCGAAAAGAACATCAGCCACAAGATGATTGAGGCTTGGGCGCTTCGACCCTGCAGGCTCAACGGCGGTTTTTAGACGACTGGGGTGGGGGAAAATGGCCCATTGGGCGGGTGGAGGATCTGATGGGGGCCAGCGCGCGCAATGGGCGAATGATGGTGATGCACGACTCGAGGCTGTGCCCACGAGTACGCCTGGCGCCCCTCAACTTTAGGCCCCCGTGCGGTGAATGATGGAGTCTAAGCGACGACGGTGCGCCTGAAGGGCTTTAATAGACTTGGACGCTGGCCCTCGTTTGCTCTTGACGCGTTGTGCATTACCTTTGAGAGAATTGTTGTTGCCGTCAACCAGTACCTCGTGCACGACGCATTCGAAGCTACATACCTATCGAAACCATGGAGAAGCCAGGTGGTAAGTGTTGAGAAGTGTTGGGCCTGTGGGCCTGTATGCGGAGCAGTTGTTGGATTGCAGCACGATAACATACGTGCTGTGCTGTGTTACCGTACCACGTTGACGATGCATGTACAAACGTTCCAGCTAACCGCCACAACAGTACCAATGCAAGCCTATCCCCAGTCGCCTGAAGCCACCGGCCAGCCACAACCGCCCGTTTACGCACAAGATGCAAACGCGCACGCGCAGCAATACTCGCAGCCACCCCCACAAGCCACATACCCGCACCCAGACGCCAGCGTCGCCGGTTCAGCCCCAGGCATGCCACCGCAGCAAATGCCCGGCACACAGTACCAGAATGCGACGCCCATTGCCAATCTGCAGCGCGGCCCCGCGCCCGCAGACTGCCCTGCATGCGGCCAGCGCTCCCTCACAAACGTCTCGTTTGAGACGGGCAACACGACGCATGCCTGGGCCTTTGGCCTCTGCTGTTTGTGCTGCTTGGGCTGCATCCCCTACGTCATGAGCTCGACAAAGGACGTCCAGCACAAGTGTGGCCGCTGCGGCGTCTTGCTCGCAACATGGCATCGCAGTGGCAGCACTGAGGTGCACATCCATTCTTAGACGGTTGGAGTAGACGCAGGTGAAGGAATGAGCAGGGGGAGGGGGGGGGGAGGAGGAGGGGAAAGAAGATGATACCCATTGATTGATGCGTTTTCTGTTGTCGTGTTAGAATTGACGTGTACGTACTGTTTGTTAGGCTGTTGAGCATGCATTTGTCTTGCCGGAATGTAAAGCATGCAGAGATGTTTGTCAAGATATACATCGGGGCATTTCAGCCAAAAGAGAGCAAAAAGAGATTGACTTGCACGAAAACGTGTCTCGTGACTCGACACATTCATTCACAGCTCAGTCAAATCGGGTATCCTGTGACGTCACGCCCTCTAACCTCTTGCATCATCACACCGCGGACACGCAAACTATCTCTCCATCACTCCCCAGCATTCGGTACATTAGGCCCGTCGTAGCGTCAGCGCATGGTCAAAGCAATACACGCTCTAATGGCTACACGGCACTGAGGAGCCACAGATGCCATCATCGTGCGCTCCACCAGCCACACAAGAGCCACAAACGGTCCTGCCAAGCTTCCACTTTGCAAACCAAGCTTTTGCCAACTTGCTTGGTCGGGTTAAGATCGACTATTATTCCCTCGTCTGTTTGCGCTTTGAGCACGCCTGGACTGTACTGTGTAACAAGGTTGGCCAGAAAGCAGGTTTTGTTGCTGCGAACCGCCCTGGTGGTGTGCCTGTGCGACAAAGATGATGCCGAGTGACGACTTTTGCTTGCAGCCCTTTAGGCGGGAAAGTATCTAAGAGAGTGCAAATATAAGCAATCAAGCCGCTGCTTGTGAATTCGCTACTCACCAACCCTCTCTCTTCTTCCTTTGTTGTACTCGCCTGTACAGTCAGGCGGTTCGAGTGCCTCGTACGTCATTTACCACTCGGGAGACTTGCCTCGCCAGACACCCACAAACAACACCACCATGGGCCTGTTCAACAAGCGAAACACGACGCCTGTCGCCGCCGACACAACCACTGCGACTGGCTCGCACAGAGAGAAGAGACCAAGGCGTCACTCCAAGTCTCACTCGTCATCGTACAACTCCAGGCCAAGCTTTGGACAATGGCTCAAGGCTACTTGGCTCGACATCCTGACCATGGCCGCCATGGGTGCCATTGGCCTGGGTGTCTACATGGCCGATCCAGCCCCTAGCCGCAGCTTTCCCAGTACGTATTCCCTTCAGCACACAAAATCTTTACCATCTAACACTCTTCTAGTTGTCTTCCAAGATGGCGAGATTGTCTACCCAGAGTTTGCCTACCCCCTGCGCAACGAAATCATACCCATCTGGGCCGCCGCCCTCATGGCCTTTTTCATCCCCTTTGCCGTCTTTTTGATCGTGCAGATCCGCGCCCGCAGCTTCTGGGACGTCAATAACGCCACTGTCGGCCTGTTATACTCCCTCATCACCGCTGCCGTATTCCAGGTCTTCATCAAATGGCTCATTGGTGGTCTCCGCCCTCACTTTCTCGCTGTCTGTAAACCCGTCATTCCTGAAAACCTTCGCTCGAGCGTCGGTGCAGCCGACAACGGTATTGAGTCTGGCAGCGGCAATGGCAACGTCGCCAATGGATACCGCCAGATCATGTTTGACAAGAGCATCTGCACTGGCGACATGAACGAAATCAACGATTCTCTCGAGTCCATGCCATCTGGTCACACCACTGCTGCCTTTGCCGGTTTCGTCTTCCTCTACCTCTACCTCAACGCAAAGCTCAAGGTCTTTTCCAACCACCACCCCGCAATGTGGAAGTTGGTTGCTCTTTACGCTCCCATTCTTGGTGCTTGTCTTATCGGTGGTGCTCTTACCATTGACGAATACCACAACTGGGTAAGTTTTTTTTTTATCAAACGTACAAAGTCCCGATATACTCGAAACTAACACAACACAATAGTACGATGTCCTTGCGGGCGCCGTCATCGGCACCATCATGGCCTTCAGCGCCTACCGCATGACCTACGCATCCATCTGGGACTTCCGCTTCAATCACATCCCCCTCATGCGCCACGCCCCCTTTGTCTACGGCGCTGGTCCTAGCTCCTTTGACGGCTTCCACGACGCCATCTTCACCCGCAAGGCTGGTTGGGGCACCCACGACGCAGGTAGCTGGGGTGGTGCGCCCTTTGATGCTGCTGATGGTCCTAGGGGTACCATGATGCCCCAGGCTGAGGGTCCCGCTGGTTCGCACGTCAACAGGAAGCCTGTTGGCCATGGTGCCGGTGTTGGCCATGGTGCCGGTGTTGGCCATGGTGTGAGGGGTGAGCATATGGTTTAGAATTGGGTGTGGAACGATTGAAGGAATGAGTGACTGAGTGACTGAGTGGTGGTGTATACCATTGATTTGGTCTAGTAGTTTTAATTTGTTTTCCTGCATTGAGGTGTATACCCTGGGGTATTTGTATAATTAGTAATGAGCATAATGATGGTAGCGAGGCGTCGGGTTAGTACATAATGCCATGTACAATTTAATCACGAAATCCATGTAATACATTCCAACTCTCATAAACAGCGCGTCGATTACTTTTTTTGTTTTTCAAAAAATCAACAACAAAGACAGTACATGAAGTTTAACAACAAGCCGATACGCCCCATCCCCATCCTAAACTCTAATATTCAATTCCGAATAAATAACTGAGAAAAGGAAAAATAAAAAAAATAACTACTCTATGACAACCCTTCAACCTCACTCTTCAGCCCCTCCACCAATTCCTCTCCTTGCTCCAAACTAATCATTTCTCCTGGTGCAAAAATACCCACATCCAAATATCCCTCTCGCACCGTCGCTTCAACATCGATGGCGTGCTGTATTCCCGTATTAGCAAGAAAAAAAAAGAGCTCTGGTATGAAGATACGTGATGGGGAGAGAGAGATAAACATACCAAAAACACGCCATTCACACGTTCATTTCTCAACTCTTTGATGTCCAAACCATGTTGCTCGTGGGTAACGGGTGATATGCGAGAAAATCCTGTCTGATATTCTTCTCTCTCCACAGATTGAATGCGCACACCTTGACCATGTCCGTGTTTCGGGGAACTCCTCGCGTCGTCTAGATCGACCAGGAAATTGACAAAAACATCAATTTTGACACCAGTCCACTCCTCAATCTCGACGAGACTCGTAGTCGCGACGCTAGTATCACTAAGATTGCGGAAATGCGCCTGGATTTCCTTTGCTGACTCTACTACGCTGCGGGTTTGCAGGCTTGAGACTCGCAAAGGGACGAGGTTGAGGGTTGGAATTGCGGCGGTGGGGAGGTCAGACGTGCATGATAAAGAGCGGTTGGCGAGATAGACGCCTAGGACTATGTCGTCGGTGGTGGTGGTGGTGGTGTTGTGGTTGAGGCAGGAGTGGAGTTTTGCGTAAATGGCGAGGAAGAGGGCGTGCGGGGAGATGCCGTGGTGGCGGGCGGTGGTGTCGAGGGTTTGGGTCGGAGTTAGGGATGGGCGGAAGATTTCTAGGCGGGTGGTGGGTGTGTGGGAGGGCTGTTTTAGTTGGGATGGGTTTGCGTTGGAGAGATGGGTTTCCCAGAATTGGCGGCGCTGTAGGGAATAAGAGAGCGAGGATGTGCTGGAGACGAAGTCGGCTAGGATATCATTTTGAGAGAGAGCAGGGGCACTGCCGTTGCAGAGGTCTTCGAGTTGTTGCATGAGCAATGGGAGACTGATGCCGTCGTAGAGTGTGTGGTGTATTCTGAGTTGCAAAGTCCAGCCGCAGGAGTTCTGGGAAACCAACAACCTTGCCCATGGCTGTTGAGTTATAGCATGTTGAACGCGTTCGCGTATCTCATCTTCCCCGCATCCAGTGACATCTGTGATGGCGCTATCAACATCTCTCAACACAAGCTGAACGTAGGGTACCCGGTGATCGCCAACTGAGACCAAGCATGTCCTGAGTATTGGATTCGCCACCACCAAAGCCTGCCATGCCTTTTGCAGATCTTCAAAAACCACATCACCCTCGAGCTTGTAGGTGAACTCTGGGTAGAAATTGCTGCCGTTGGTATTGAGCCACATTGACAGCATGTAAAGCTGACCAGCAGTGACTGGGAAAACCTTGACGACATTGTCCGCATCAACGCCGGCTCGCTTGGAAACCTCCGCATAGTTCAAGTCTTTGAGTACTTCATCAAGACTCGCTGAATTGTCTGTGTTATCTTTGAGGGGTTCCGAAGCACGAGCATCGACAAGCCTGGCCATCTTCTCCACCGAACCAGCTTGCAGCATCTCTCCAACGCTGAGGACAATCCCCTGTTTGCGAAGAAGCGATGATACTTTGATTGCGCTGATGGAGTCCAATCCCATGTGGAATATAGTCATGCCGCTAGTCATCTCCTCCTCAGGTGTCTTCGAAACTGCAGCCAATATTTTGCGGATCCTGCTAGCTGTTTCCGTGCTTGGTGCATCCTGTCCGCCGTCTTCTCCAGATTCCACATGACCGCTTTCAGTCTGAATCTCAGCCTCTTCGAAAGCTGGCAGACCGCAGACTGACGTTCCTTCTGCAGTCATCTCAATCACCGGTGCATCTGCTCGCTCCATCAAGTGTCTCAGCACATCGTCCATCCTCTTCAGCAACTGCTTTGTTCCTTCCAAATCAAAAACACCATCTTTGACCGCGCAACGCCATAACAAAGTGTCGTTCGCCACCTCCATCTCAACACACACCGCATACTCGACATCGCTTTGACCCTCAACACTGGTATACAGCTTCTCATCCTTATCCTGCTCTTGCTCCAAGCTCTTTTGATAAATGAACAGGCTATCACACAATCTACCATCCACCCTAGCCTGCGACATAGCCTTTCGAAGTGAGTAATGTTGCCACCGTTTGATATTCGCAAAGTTGTCTTGAACATATCGCAGCAATTCGACACTTGTTCCGTGAAGAATGGTTCGTATAGCTACTGTATTCATAGTCGGAAACATAAGCTGGGATGTTTCTTCATCATCGCGTCCGGAAAGCACAGAGCCAAAAGTCACATCAAGAGAGCGGGTAAAAGATGCACTGACGAGAGCAAAGACTGTTTGTCCCACAGTCTGAAGCGAAACATTATTGTTCCTTGCAAACAAATGGATGCTTTCCAGGGGGATTTTACTGTTTTCTTGATGGCGATGAACGATGTTGCTCTTGTCATCGGGTCCTGGTGTTCGATGCGGGAAAGTGGTGCCGATAGCGCCGGAGAGGTAGTCTTGCCAGAAGCCTGCGGCATCGGGTCCTGAGGTTTTGATCATCTCTGATAAAGACGGCTGGTAGGGTGGCCGAGCTTCAAATTCATGCTGGTAGGCTCGGTGCACATCAGAATGCAACAAGCCCAGAGACCATCCATCATACAGTGCATGCGCAATCGATAGCACGAGATACGATTGACCGGGGGTGTCGATGAATGTAAGGTGAAAAGCTGGCGATGAAAGTGGTTTTTGAATCACGTCGTTTCGGAGGTCCTTGAAGATAGATGTAAAGTCTGGTGTGCTGTCAAAACTCATGTGTGAGTAAAGGTCATGTGATTGACGGTGGACGACCTGCGCGAACGAGAGATCGATGTCCGGATCGTACACCTCAACGAAACCAGTACGTAATATTGGTGAACCCATGATGACTGTTGCCCAGGCTTTTTGGAGCTTGCTTGTATCTGTGTCTCCACTAAGCATTAGCACATCATGGTTGTAGTACCTTGTGTACTCGGATGTAATCATCTCGGCAACCATGGCTTCCTGGAGCGGTGTTAGAGGTAGTACTTCCTCGATATCGTTGGTGTTGAATGCTTGGTGGCCGAGACACTTTGCTAGCTTCGTTTTGCGAGTATCCAAATCAAAACGAGAAGCTGCTTCTCCAGTCCGAGTGTTCTTCATCGACACACTTTGTACCATCTTCTCAATAGTCAACCCGCGCATGATGCCGCTGACTGAGAGTCCCATTCCTCGTTTCTTGAGCTTTGACGAAAGCTTGATCGCATCGATACTATCAAGACCAAGCTCGAAGATCGAAGTTGTTTCATTGATGCTTTCCATCTCGTTTGCGGTCAAATGGGCAATCTCTTCTCTGATTGCGATGGCGTTGTCACTCCATTCAAAGTCCGAGATATTATTGTTGTGACTTGGGTCAGATTGAACAGCGGTGGGGTTCTCAACCGTATCACTCACATCAACTGGCAGCTCGAGAACAGCCGATGGGTCATTGATGGCTTGGTTCAGCGCTTCTTCAAACATGTCCAGTAACTCAGCTGCGATCTGGGCATTTGCGACATGCCCCTGTGCAACCAGTGTCAACTTCAACTCGTTGCCACCCCGATGCTCGACCTCAAAAGCCAACGGATAATCAGCAATGGCAGCATCGTCCAAGAGTTGCCAAACGTCGTTTCTTGCCCACTCCTCATTGTCTTGTGCACCTTGATACACAAAGAGATTGTCAAATAGAGGGTTATTTGGAGACCGCTTGCACCACTTCATGATATCTCTCAGTGGTGTATGTTGAAACGGGTAAGCTTCGACATTGAAATTGTGTACCCTCTTGATGATTGATGACCAGGGCTCGCTGCGTTGAGTCCGCTGGTGATAGGGAATTGTGTTGAACATAGGCCCTATAACCCGATCCGCGCCTTCAAGTTCAATGCTACGACCGGATACGATTATGCCGGTTGCCACATTTCCTTTTACATGTCTGTGAAGCACGCTGAGCCAACAAGCTTGTACAACAGCTTGCGCCGTGACATTAAGCCGTCGTCGGATGAGGTCGAAGTTGGCCGATGCATGTGATTTACGCGAGATAACAACAGCGTCTTGACCTGAATTGTCGAGTACCGTGGGGAGAGATGAAGTCCTGGCTAGTATCTGATCCTTCCAGAAACTTTTCGCGTTGTCGGGCATTTTCAGTGGACCGTGGGCAAGAGCAGTGTGGAACGATGGCGCATCCGACATCGAGTCCTGTCCGTTGTACGAATTCCATACACCTTGCAGGAGGAGACCGATGCTGTTTCCGTCGTAGAGGCCATGAAATATGTGCACAATGAGTAACTTTTGCTTCTGCGTCGAAATAAGATGCACCTGGAACGGCTGTCGAAACTCAACGTCATTAAGGCCGAGCCAATCCTTCCGTAACTGAGCCATGTGATCAACGAGGTCATCATCTTCAGCCGACGTTTGGATAAACCCGTTGAAAGGAATGCCGCCAAGAACAGCTTGCAAATACCCTTCTTCGGTATTTACGAATACTGTACGTAGTATTTGGGTCGAGTTATACATTGTTGCCCATGCATTCTGCAGCTTCTCTTCGTCAACTTCCATGTTCAATTTGAACCGGAAGGTATTGAAGTAAAGCCCGGCGTCGTTTTCCATTGATCTTGCAATCATGCCCTGCTGTAGAGGTGTACATGGTGCAAGAGCTTCGATCTTGCTGGGTTCGACAGACAAGCGGTTAGCCACTTTGCGTCGATGACGATGATTTACAGCATTGATAGACTGCCGGGCTGCGAGAATCGATCCATGTCTGTTGCTCGTAGCACTATTGGTTGACAAAGACTTTGCAAGCCGCCGAATTGTGGGACATTGTAGTATCATTGAGGTAGTGGCTTTCGTGAAACCAGCCTGTTTCAAAGATTGTGTGACGCCTATCACGGAGATAGAGTCCATGCCTAATTCAAAAAAGCTTGTATTTTTGGACATGCTCTCATGATTCGCACCAAGGGCTTCAAGCATGACATCCCGGAGTTTCTCCTCTTGTTTCGACCATTGTTCATCTTCCGAGAAGGAAGCGGCAGACAGCTTTTGAAGGTCGCTAGAAGAAAGGGCCTCGTACATCTTCTTAAGTGCCTTACCATCTGCCTTGTTGTTGACATTGAGTGGCATGGAAGTAAGTGGGACGAAGTGCGTAGGTATCATGTAAGGCGGAAGCTTGTCGTTGCAAGCCTGCTTCGCGCTTGCTGTTCCTCTAATCTCGCCAAGCAAGACTTCTGGTTGAGCTTTCAGAGTTTTACCGCATACAATAAAGGAAACAAGTTGCTCTTTTTGTTGCATTGGATGCTTCAGAACAAGCGTTGCGACATCCGAAATGTCGCTGTCAGACTGTTTAATAACGGAATTGATCTCAGCGACTTCCAAACGTTGGCCACGCAACTTGACTTGGTCATCGGCGCGACCCAAAAAGTAGAATGTACCGTCATGGAGGATCCTAACGATATCTCCCGTCCGATATACGCGTTGGGAAAAGCGGCTGAGAGAAGGGAAGCGCTCTGCAGTCAAATCTGGACGGTTGAGATAGCCTTTTCCAACGAGTTTTCCCGAGACGCAAAGTTCACCGATACCACCTCTTAAGACTGGAATGTCAGAGCCCGGACGGAGGACCAGTGACCCAACATTGTCGAACTGTGGGCCAATATTCGAGGGTTTCCCGTTCGCTGGAACGCGTGGGTACATGGTACACCCTATCGTGGCCTCGGTCGGCCCGTATCCATTGTAGATGACGCCTTTAGGACCCCAAACATCCAAAATCTCTTGCTTTAGACTTTCACCACCGGTGATGAAAACACCCTTACAAAGACTTGGTACATCGTCGGGATGTAGAATTTGAGCAAGGCTGGGCGTGAGGTCAATGTGTGTGATGTCGAGATCACGGATGGAGTTTGCGAGGTCTTCGAAGATGAGGTCACGAGGCGCGGATACCACACAAATACCAACAGACCAGCTCCAGTACTGTTCGAGCACGGAAACGTCGAAGTGAAAAGACGCGAATTGGAGCCATCGCGAGTCGACATCCCAGTGCCCGGCGAAAAGACGCTGGAAGGCCAGCAAGGCTTGGACAGCGTTCTCATGGGTCAGTTCACAACCTTTAGGTGTACCGGTAGTTCCAGATGTATACAAACAGTAGCTTCGGTCCTGTGGGTCGATGGCGCTATTTTCAAATAGTTTTTGCCCAGAAAGCGAGCGCCATTCCACTTCATCGAGGTCGAGGACCGGCACCTCAGCACCCACCTTAAATTGAGCCGACTGTGATGACATTGACAAAACAGCCTGAGCATCAGAATCCTTAATTATGAACGTTTGACGCGCAGCAGGTGCTCCCGGATCAATGGCAACAAAAGCGCACCCCGCCTTGAGTATTCCCAGCATAGCGAAAGAGGCTTCTGGGCATTTTTCGAAGCACACACCCACAAGGCTGTTTTGCTTAACGTTGTGAGCCGCAAGCAATTGTGCGATCTTGTTGCCTTCTTGATCCAATTCGTGATACGTCCAGCGCCTCACTGAACGCTTCCCGTTGCTCTCGTTGCACACGAATTCAAAAGCCATGCGCTGGGGGTACTCCTTAGCTGTCCTCTCTACCAGCTCGTGGAGTAGCTTCACATCCGATGGTATTTCGTCTTCCTTTGCTGGAGTGATGGAGTATAGTTTCTGGGAGTAGTCTGTCTCGGCCAAAGGTGTTTCGGAGTGAAAGATGAAACTCTCCATCAAGTGATCAAGTTGTGCAACAATCAAAGACGCTTGTCCTCTCGGGATTATGTTGGGAAAGTATGTGAGTCTGTACTCCAATCTTCCTCCCTTTGGTTCTAGCTCGATGGAGACTGGATACTCGATAGTGGCTCTTTCGTCTACAACAGTCCAGAGGTCGGAGGTATCAGTATCGTTTGCCAGTTTCTGATAGGCGAAAATGCTATCAAACAGCGCCCCATTTGGAAAGCCCATGAGCGCTTGAATTTCTTTGAGTGGTTTGGATTGATGTTCCTGGATTCCCGCATTCAACACTGTGATTGATTCCAGCATCTTCGTCGTATCATTCGCCACAGTGAACGCTAACGGGACAGTATTGATGCACGGGAAGTTGGAATGCGCTGTAGCATCGGAATTTCGACCAGAAAGTACAACACCACAGGTTACAGAACTTTCTCCAGTATAGGAAGATAGTAGCGATAGCCAGCTCGCTATGCCCACGGCTGGCATCGTGGTATTTGCCTGCCGACATCCGTTTTCCAGATCGATAAGCGATTTTACAGATCGCCTGGTATAGATGATTGGAGGTTCTGGATCGTATTTCAAAGGCGCTAGGTTGGGAAAGCGAGATGGATTTGCAGTCTTGCCAAGTTCAACCCAAAACTCTTTTCCGCTGCTGTTGTCCTGCTTGTTAGATTGAATGACATGACTCACAACTTCGTCTAGAGACGACACTGGCGGTAGGCTTAGACCCTTGTAAAAGGCTGCAACATCAGTAAAGATACTTTGGAGGCTTTGCGCATCAAACAGTGCGTGGAAAATGGCCAAGTCGAGAAAGGACTGGTCGTTACTTTGAACGAATCGTAGCGCCCAAGGAGGCAAGTACAACTCCTTGAGTGACTGATTCCGTATTTGCTGAAGCCACGCATCTGAGGACTGATATTCGTTTTGCTTTTGTGTTGCACTCCAAGGCAGTGTTGCAGAAATCTGAGTATACTCGATCATGGCGAAGGGAAAAAGTGGATCCTTGACATGAGCAAATCCAGTACGTAGCAAGCTATGGCGTTCCATCGTAGATGACCACGCTGATTTGAGCTTCTCTGAATCAACCTCCGGTTTTAGTTGCAAACTGAGGTAGTTCATATAAACAGCCCCCTCCTTTGCAAGGAATTGCGATACCATCCCATTTTGAAGGGGGGTGCATGGTCGGACAGCGGCAACATTCCTGTTGTCGATACCATGATCCCTCAAGATCTGTGTTCTGTACTTGCTCTCAAAGCCATGGAAATCGAATGGTGAAAACTCAGGTGCCTCTGAAGCAGATGCCTGGCCCAAGTGCTCAGCAAGATCACTGCATGTGGTATGTTTCAGAACGTCTGTTGCTTTGATTGTGTATCCTTGAGAACGAAGAGCAGATGCGATTTGAACTGCGCTAATGCTGCCGAGACCCAGCTGGTAGATTGATGTTGTTGGTGAGATGTTTTCCGTTGGAGTCTTGGATATACGCGCAAGAACGTTGCGAACCTCGCTTTCGGTTTTGGACCACTGGTGTTCCGTGGTATGCGAGATTCCATTGGGAAGTGAGCTGGGATCTGAATACTGTCGAAAGATAGTATTCAAAGCCTTCTTATCGATCTTACCAGCCATTGATTTTGGTATTTCGTCTACTACCAAGAAGAATTGAGGTACCATATATGAAGGTAGACGAGTACTTGCTAGTTTTTTGAGCTTCTGCTGGAGCGTGGGTATATTCCTTTCGTGGATCGGTTGTCGTAAAACCAGAAATGTGACTAATTGCTCTTTTGAGGATTCTTCTTTCCGGAGGATTTGCGTCGTGACAGATAGCAAACCTGGGTCAAGCTCTGCAAGGACGCTATTGATCTCACCCAGCTCAACTCGAAGTCCACGGATCTTTACCTGATCGTCAAGACGTCCTATGAATTCGAAGTTGCTGTCACTCAACATTCGCACCATATCGCCACTCTTGTAGAATCTTTGGCCACAGCGCGTCACGAAACGATCGTGTGTGAGGTCAGCCCTGCCCCAATAACCTCGCGCGAGCTGCACACCCCCGATATAGAGCTCTCCGATACTCAAAACAGGGAGTGGAGTTTTGCTGTTCTCAGAGAAGATCGCAAAGGACGTCGTTGGAAAGGGGTTCCCGATAATCGAAGTGCTTCCATCTTTAGAGACGGGAGTCATGGTCGTACAAAAGGCAGCTTCAGTCGGGCCAAATGAATTGATACATGCGCCCTCCCACTCCTTAACAACTGATGACGACATGGCTTCACCAATGCAGTAAAGCCATTTCACATTTGGAACATCGACCCTCTTCAGAGTCTCTGCAACAGACGGCGTGAGGTCAAGTAGATCAGCTTTAAGGGTGTTGATCCCTCCCGAAAGATCGTTAAGTAAATCACCCTGTTCTGCAGCACAAAGGGTAAAGCCAAAGGTCCAGGCAAGAAAGCAGTCGTAGTAGCACATGTCGAAAGTTATCGCAGCGTATTGAAGGAGTCGAGATTGAGAGTTCCAGGGTATGAGCGTTCTGGAGCTTTCGATAGTCTGTATTGGAGCATGATGTTCCATGCTGACAGCTTTTGGAACACCGGTAGAGCCGGAGGTGAAAAGGCAGTAAGCAAGGTTGGTATCTTTCAAGTCCTCGATAACGGGGTTAGAAACATCATCACTTGAAAGAGATTGAGCGTTGATGACGGTCATTCCAGGAGGATCTTCAGGAAGCAACGAATCATCGTCGCAAAGAACGATCTTTGGTTTCAGATCTTTGAACATTAGCTGCTTGCGCGCTTCCGGCAGGTCGGGATGAATAGGGGCAAATGCGGCTCCAGATTTGAGTACTCCGAGTACGCTAGCATAGTATACCGGGCTTTTGGGGATGTGGATAGGTATGACTTGTTCTGGCCCAGCGCCCGCTCTGATGAGCGCGTGTGCAATCTGATTCGCCTCTCGATTGAGTTGCTCGAAAGACCACGTCGTTTTCTTTCCTGGGCAATGCCAGAAGTCGAGGGCAATCCAATCTGGATGCAGCAATGCCGTGCGCTCAAATCCAGAGTGCAAAAATCTGGAGCCACTGTCGAGACGTTTGAAGTTCAAGTTGGAATTCGCCCAGAGTGTGGTAGGAAACATGTCCGTGTCAGCAGCAAGTGCATCAGGAAACTTGATGAGAGACGCCAAGGCAGCATCGAACGTCTTCATGACTATTGACGCCTCTGGTTCGGATATTATCGAATTGTTGTAGTGCAATAATAGTCTGAGAGTATCGTCAACCTGGTCCTGGACGACTTCGCATACGATAGGTATGTCCATGTCACCCGAGTCTTGCTCAAGTCTCCAAATGGTGCTATCCAAAGGCACATTGGGCTGCTGAAGGATCACAAGGGAGTCAAATAGACGCCTACCATCCTCGAGTATAGTCTTCTGTATCCTACGGAGTGGGGTTAATTGGTAAGCGAGCGACTCGATGCTTTGGTTGTGCATCAGGTCCACCAAGGCGCGATTGCTTTTGCTAAAGTCAAAATCGCCACGGACGGGTAGAGAGTTGAAGCAAGGTGCGACCAAGCGTTCGAGATCCTCTCCTGGAAAGCTGCGACCACTTACTATGTTGCCGAAACAGACATCGTTTTCATGAGTATAAAAGTGGAGTAGTTTTGCCCATGCAGCATGCACAACGGACAAAAGTGACACTGAGCTGTCTCGGCATGCTTTTCGTACGCTCTCGAGTGATACGCTGAGACGTCTTGACGAAGACTTAAAAGCTTCATACTTTTGGACTCTCTTCCCAGTGAGAGCGGGGAACGACGTGGGCTCAAAGCCTTCCAATAAAGCAGACCAATACTTGTCAGCCTCATCCAAGTTCTGCTCAACTATGCGCTTCAGGTAAACCTCGTATGAAACGGGCGGTAATAGCCGGCGGCCATGATATAGTTCCTGGACTTCTGCAAGGAGTGTGGACACAGCTATACCATCGTAGAGGGCATGATGACAGCAAAAGAGCAACTTTGTGGAATCTTCTTCTCGGACTAGAGAAAAGTACACTGGAGGTTTGTTGGCTTCCATGAGATCAGACAGGATCTTACTGATGCGTAATTGGAGGTTGCTGTCCAGACTGTCCTCGTGCCAACCCATGTCATACTCTTCTACAATGACTTGAGCAAATGAGTAAGATGGATCCTCCGTTGCAACGAACGAAGTTCGAAGAATATCGTGCCGCTGGATCACAGTCTCCCAGCACCTTTGTAGCTGGTAGATATCTCCCTTGATATCGAAAACCATGACATTACAATATGCCTGCCCCGATGAAGTGAAACCACTCGATATCATGGCTTCTTGGAGTGGCGTACAAGGAAGTATTTTCGCCACTCCGAATCCGTTTTTCTCAACGATCGAGCGAATTCTTTGGAGTTGGTCCATGGTAAAGATATCGGGTGCGTCTATCGATAGTATCTTGGCCTGTGTTGTTGTAGATGATTGCGACTTCTCCAAAGATGCCAAACCAGCAACGGATGGGTGCTTGAGAACTTCGGATATAGAATAGTCACCAAGCCCTGCCTTTCGTAGCTCGCTACAGAAACGTATAGCTGATACAGAGTCTAGGCCTAGATTAAAGAATGATGAGGTCCGCTTAAGTTTGTCTGAAGAAATAGCAAGCGTTCGGATCAAGAGTTGAGAGACGTCCCTTTCCCATTGTGACAATAGCTCTCCCTCTTCTGTCTCCGCGATACTATTAGAATGTGTGGCGTTGTTCAGGGTATGTTCTTCAAAACTGGAGAATAATCGCTGCAAGAATCGCTTGTCAATCTTTGCCTGCGGGGTCATCGGTAGGCAAGATATCGGAATGAGATGAGATGGGACCATATAGGATGGCACTCGTCGGGACAACAGGTCGAATAATTCCGAAATTGTGGGTGCAAATTTGGAAGGCTCTAAACTTTCGACGCAGCTTGACGAATCTTCCGTTGGTACCCAGAAACTAACAAGCGTTTTCGAGTTGTTGGTCTGTTCTAAAGCGAGGGTGACACAATCCCAAACAGTATCATGATCAAGTATGACAGATGTTATTTCCCCTAACTCAACCCGCTGGCCACGAATTTTCACTTGATCATCCGTACGTCCTGTAGAGAGAATGCTATCATCTGGAAGAAGTATTCCCATGTCGCCAGATCGGTATATCCTGCCGTACGTGGGATGGTGAATAATTTTTTGGGCGTTGAGTTCTGGTCGGTTGAGGTAGCCGCGGAACACCTGTGAGCCACCGAAACAAAGTTCTCCAACAGCACCTCGTGGAAGTATGTCCTGACTTTCGGGATCGAGCACAAGTGCCGAGGTGTTGGAAAAGGGACTACCAATGTTGTTGATTAGATCATCTGGAGTGACTGCAACTCGAACAGTACATATGTTTGTAGTCTCCGACGGTCCATAGCCTTGGTACAACCCTCGACCTGCCCATTTCCTGCGCACATGTTCAGTCACTGCCTCTCCTGCTGTTACTAAAAATTCGACTTTGGGAACATTTTTCGGGTCCACAAGCGCAGCAACTGTCGGTGTAAGACTAAGATGCGTAACTTTCATTTGGTTGATGGCAGCCTCGAAGTCGCGAAAGAGATGTTCTTTTGTCGCCGAGCATAGGCATATGCCGACATACCAAGTGAAGAATATCTCGAAGACGCTAACGTCGAAGGCTTGTGAACATGCCTGCAGCATACGCGAGTCGGCAGAAAAGGGGTAAACAGTTGAAAGGTACTGCAGGTTACTCATAAGGTTATCCTGCGTCACAAGAACGCCTTTGGGTGTTCCTGTACTTCCAGAAGTGAAGACCGCGTAAGCAAGATGCTGGCCATTGTATGGTGTTTCCAAGTTTCGATCGCAGTGATCAGAGAGCGTAGCGAGGTCAAAGTCTATAACATCAACTAAGAGATCTGAGCGTAAGGTAGCTGACAGTGACGATTCTGAAACGCACAACTCAATCCGAGCATCGTTCAGGATGGTCTTCACTCTATCGATTGGGGTATCAGGAACGAGCGGTAGGTAGCCACAGCCGAGCTTGAGTACAGCAAGGATAGAAGTATAGAGATTGACTGACTTCTCCATGATAATACACACGAGCTGGTCATTTGCTACGCCATGTTCTGCAAGAAGACGAGCCAACTGGTTAGCACGTGAGTTCAACATGCTGTAAGTCATTGTGTCTTTAACCTTCATTGACCCATTGACTTCGTGGCCGAATATTATAGCTGTTCGGTGTGGATCAGTAGCCGCCCATTGCTCTACAGCATAAGAAGGGCCATGATCAAAGCGATGCTCCAGAGGGGTGGGGTTGGCAATAGATAAGGATGGCGTGGTAAAGCATTGGTTCATCGCACGTATGTTACAATCGGCATCTGCCATGAACATCTCCACCACTTCATCGATTTGCCGAAACAGGTACTCAATCTGACGGTCTGATACAGTTGCGGCGTCGAATGTGCTCCGGAACAAGATATTGTCTCCCACTGGTTCAAACTCTAAAGTTATTCGGAACTCCAGTTCGTCTGCGCTATCGACAATTCTGGCGATCAACGATGTGTTGTCATCCGAGACCATTGACTGTTGCCACACAAACAAAGTTTCAAACAATCGCGCTCCAGGCTTGACATTAACAGCCCTTGCTATCTCGCGTAGTGGAAGCTGACTATAACGTAGACTGTCTCTGTTTATTGATTGAGTTCTTTTCAAGACGTCACAAACGCGATAAGCGTCTGCGAAATCGATACGGAATGGGAGGGAAGCGATGCAAGGGCCGACAATATCTTCTATGCCAGCTACAGGGATTGTACGCCCAGAAGTTACGTTGCCTAATACCACATCACTGGAGCCACTGTAAAGACTAAGCACGAACGCAGTGGCAGCCTGGAAGTAGACTTGTGGGTTGACAGCTGATTGGTGAGCGCACTCAGAAAGCCTGTGCCGCCTGACACATGATTGTCCAGAAAATCGATGTATGCTTGTGTTATGGACCAGCTTCCCATGGTAGTTTGGCAGAGTCGTTGGGATATAGTCACCAAGAAGGCTTTTCCAGTAGTTTGTAGAGGTTTGGATGTTGTTGAGCCGTTGGTCATCATCGAAGTAACGCACAACTTCCCGAAATGATGGCCTCTTCAGGTCCTGCTTTCCACGAAGACAGTGATCAAGATCACGGAGTAGCAAGTCCAAAGACCAACCATCATATAGAGCATGATGTATTTGGAAGAGCAGGCGGGGGAGTTCGCTATGAGTCTTGACCTGGACGCCGAACGGTCGGAGAAAATCATGGTCAGATTGGATCGAATACTGTTTAGAGAAGCTGGCTTTTTTCTGGATTTGAGAAAGCGAGAGCTCCTTCCAAATTATTTGTGAGAACACTGTCGTATGCTGAGAGTCGACGCAGAAACCGGTTCGCAGTATCTCATTCTCATGGGCCAGAAATAACAGAGCATCCTGAATCTGCTCATAGGTGTAATAACTTGAAAGCTCGACCTCGACCCAGTTGCAGTACGCCGTGGGCTTCGATCTCGTTTCTGCCAGCATGGCTTCCTGCAATGGAGTACATGGAATTATGCAAGCGACATCATGGCGCCAGCCATTTAGTTGAAAGTTTTTCGTATCAATGAAAGCTTCGGGCTTAATTTTCTTGTCACCAGATTGAAAACTAACCGGTTTGGATTCCCTACAGACTTCAATGAGGTCTGTAAGGGTCGCAGCAGATAGCACTTCGATCGCTCCTAGAGAGTATCCTTCTCTTCGCAACGCAGATGCAATGCGGATCGATTTGAGAGAGTCAATTCCGATGGATGTAAGGTTGGTTTCCAATCCGACACTCTGCGTGGTGTAATGGCTGACGACACTCCAAACCGAGTGACTCACTGCGTCTTTCAGGCTGGCAGCAAGAGACGATGGCGTCCCATCGGAGTGTGAATATAGATAGTCATTCTCGAGAGAGTTCCTATCGATTTTACCCGATGGTAGTTGTGGCATTACGTCGATGACAATTATATCCGATGGTATCATAGATGCAGTTAACCAGTGCTTACAGGTCGTCAACACAGCTTCGCGTGACATTCCATTCCTGCCACTGCAAAAGGCGACTAAATTTTCTTGTATAACCATTGCAGTGGCTGCACGACACCCTCTTGTCTTCATGATGGCTTGCTCAATTTCACCCAATTCGATCCGTTGACCCCTGAGTTTTACTTGACCAGACACGACGCGTCCCAGACACTCCAGTAATCCTTGTTCATTGATCTTTGCTCGATCACCGGTTCTGTAGAGGCGACCGTAGTCTGGATGCTCAATGAAGGATGCATGTGTAAGGTCTGGCCGATTGAGGTATTCTTTGGCAACCTGAGGGCCTCCTATCGCAAGTTCACCTACATGCCCGATCGGAAGTATATCAGTGAGTGGGGTGTGTAGTTCTGTAGAAGGTGCAAGGATGAAAGCAGAAACAGTATCTAGTGGGTGGCCTATTGTGCTGGTTGAATCGGACGTTGAAAACTGTGGCCATATGGTGCAATGAATTGCGGCTTCTGTTGGACCATACATAGCCCACAATATACTCTCTTTGGTCGCATCGCCACCAAACTCATCGATGACGGGTTGGGTGAGCATCTCGCCAATAGTGAGGAGCAACTTTAGACCAGGCACACTCGAGCGACCGGATAGAAGATTACACACGACCGTTGGTGTGAGTTCAGCGGCGTCCGCGTCGAGGTTGTCTATAGTCCCTGGAAGGTCATCAAGCATTTGTGTGCGTGTGCAGCCAACCAAAGTTTTGCCTCGAAACCATGGAAAGAATATCTCAAATATGGAGACGTCGAAAGTCTTTTGATATGTTAGTATGAAGAACACTGTTTCAGAATCTGACACTCACAGGGGCAGCAAACTGAAGAAAACGAGAAAAGGCGGGAATGTGACGGTCGTGAGCGAGCAAGCTTTGAGTGACGGCGCGGTGAGACACGCTCACTGCCTTGGGCAACCCAGTGGATCCCGATGTGTACAGCACATATGCAAGATCATCAGGGCTTGGCTGAGGCGAGTCATAATAGATGGTGTTATGGCAACCAGAAAGTTCGCGATCTGCTGATATAATATGGATGTTGGTGGCTGTGCGAATATGTTCGCTGTAGGATTCGAGTGTGATTATAATATCAGCTGAAACATCCTTAAGAATGAATTTTAGTCTTTCTGTTGGTGTATCGAGGTTGAGTGGACAAAAGGCCTTCCCTGCCTTTAGAATAGCCAGTAGAACTACGTAAAGCTCTGGGGACTGCGGTAGAAACACCGGAATAATGGACGAAGCACTCTCGAGCTTGCCCAGAATTTCTGTGATTCTGGCGGAGAAGGCATCACTCAAGGAGTGAAGTGTTGTGTAGGAAAACTTTCGCCTTTTCGATCCGTGTTCCAGGAAATCGATGGCGTTGGCGTCGTGATGCAGTCGCGGAACTAGTTGGTGAAGAAGGTCCGGACCCTCCAAAAGCAAAGGCTGCTCGTTCAGTATCGACAAATTTTGGTTTACACCATTTTTGTGGACCATTTCGCGAGGAGTTGTAGCGGATGGCATGATTATAGCAGGAGGGTATATGATGTACAAGATACTTGGAATGTTGCTGCTCCAACACACATAACAGATCAAGTTGAAAGACAAAAAAGGTACCACCGTAGCTACAGTCTCGAAGGATTAAAGGAGAGGATACTTCAGTGGGAACTCGCAATGATGAGAAATTGGGACACGTTGATTGGTCGGAGGGGTCCAAGTAGATGCGCACTTGGATGTATGCACAAGACTGACGCACGTGATGACGGGTGTAGGCAGCTGTGCTTGAATTATGTTCGAGTGTTGGTCTGATGTGTGGGTACGGAGTTTGAGGATGTGGTTGAGAGTAGGCACGCTGTAAGTAGGTGTACAAGAACGTCTGACGAACAAGCTTGCTACAAGACAAGAGTGTGCACGAGCGAGCTTTGTGGGCTGGAGGAGGAAAAACAAGGGTAGAAAGTCAAGTTAACATCGTCTTTGACTGCAGGCTGCTCCGTGACTGCGATGGCGTTTTCCGGAGCGGGTGGACCGAAGCGTCATACATCCTAGTCGACTGGCGAGTGGGCGTGTCATTCGACAAGCGGCGGGTAAGATCTGATAATGTGAAGTAGCTGCCTGGCTTATTACATGGATAACGAACAGCCAGAGGGCCAAGGCGAAAACTCGATTCCAGACTGGAACAAATCAGGACGCGGTAGCAGGGCTCCACCAGCGACATCCAGCGACTAGCCTCGAGGCCGTCCCACGCAGTGACAGTAGCATGTGGTCGGACATTCACCCACGCGTCGCCAGCTCGGCGCCGCATTCCCAAGCTCCAACGTAAGTAGTGGACAATAGCGTGCCCACGCCCTGGTCTCTGACTCTAGCGGCATGATTTGTTGAAGCGGCATCGGTGTTGCATCATCTTTTGTTGGGCAGGGTAGGCAGTGGGGAAAAGTCATGTGTCGCACGGGACCACCCACCCACCATCAGCTGGAATCAGTAGAGACGGCGCCCGTGCTTCAATTGGAGGATCCAAAGGCGGCCATTATCCCCGAGAGAAATTATCAGATGCTGCTGGTCTGAGTTATCAGATGGAACATATCCCCTGTCCCCTGTCCCCTGTCCCCCTCGTCTCCCTTGTCTCCCATATCTTCTCTTGCATCATCGACTTTCAACTGTGCCCAGCCCCAGCCTTATTATGCAGCCTGTCCATGTCCCGTCCGTCCCGCGCCCGGCTTCTGCGTGACAGGTTCGGGACAAGGGAGGGACGAGTTCGTCGTATCGCGTATCCGTATCGACATTCGCGCGTCCTCGATAGAGAATACTTGCCTTCCGTCTCGTGAGCTCTCGTCGGGGGTGGGTGTGCCTGTGCCTGACTATCACCGGCTGCTAGAAACTTGGCGTGGTTGACATGAAGCGCACGTCACAGGAACAGGAACATGGCGCGCCAAGACGGGGCTATTGACTGCCTTAGCCTTACTCTCAAACATTCAGTGCACCCAAATCATCAACATCACTCCCATGGTTCGTTGCTATCCCTCATAGCCCAGCAGTTTGTGCTGTCATTGCTTTCTTCTTTTTGCTGTGTTCGCCTACCCATGACGCTTCCTTGGTACTAGACTGCGCTCACATCTCAATCCGCGAGCATCGCAGTCTATGACGCCGAGCGCGCGCGTCACGATGCCAGACTACACCGACGATGCCAGCTCAGAAAGCCAGCCTCTTCTTGATTCAGAGGACAGCGAAATCGAAGAGACATGTTCTATCCTCCATAGCACGCAATGGGAGAGACACGTAGAGCCGTCCTTGGCAACAGTGCAGCCCCAGGCTTTCGAGAGCGCCACTCTATTCCGTCAGCGCTTCATTCGCCAAATCCTAGGACTGAATCCATTTAGAACATCCTACTTTACTCTGTACAGGCAGCTGGATGACACCAGCTCCAAAGCCATCCTAGCGCTAGCCATCATATTCGCCGTGCTTGCAGGCCTGCCACTCCCGTTAATAGGCGTGATTCTAGGCCGCATCATCAACAATTTTCCGCCAAATGCCGATGAGCTAAGACATTTGCTATACCGTCTCATGTCAGTTGCGATTGGCTACTTTTTGGTCACGTGGGGGTGGTCCGTATGCTGGGCTGTCACGGGCGAGCGCGTCAGTAGGAAAACCAGAGAGAGGCTCCTTCATCGTGCTCTTGGTATGGACATGGCCTATTATGGTGCGTTGCGACTTGAATATTCCTTCGATTGAGTAAATCTTAACTCAACATGCCCATCAGACACTGTCGCGCCGGACTTGTCTAGTATCCTTACAGAAAAGACTCAAACCATCCAGCTCGGAACCTCGGAGAAAGTAGGCCTCTTCATTGCTTCAATCAGTTACTTTATCTCTGCATTCACTGTAGGCTTTTTGCTCAATGCAAAGCTCACTGGGGTCATGTAATCACAGTTTGTATCCAGTTAGCAAACGTCGACTGACAGCGTCAGGTTCTTGACCGTAATACCTTCAATGGCGTTCGTTGTCTGCTTTGGCACCAAGACCGTCTCAGATCTTACCAAACAAGCCTCAATATACACCGAAAAGGCTTCTTCTGTTGCAGAGAGTGCCATCCGAGCAGTCCAGATTGTGCAAGCCTTTGGTCTCTTTGAAAGACTCAGCGAAGAACATGTGCATCACCTTCGTTCTGCCCTCAGGATAGGAGTGAAAAAGAGCTTTGCGGGTGCTCTCATGCTTGGATCGGTCTACTTCGTGGCTTACGCAACCAATGCACTTGCATTTTGGTATGGCGATCACCTACGACATGGCAGCGCCGAAGCAGGAACTATCTACGCTGTCGTTTTTCTCATCCTAGATGCCTCCTTTGTTGTTGGTTCTTTTGGACCATTTATACAAACATTTGCAATGGCTGCTGCTGCTGGAGCTGCAGTACTGGACGTCCTGGATCACCCTACCTCCGACATCGACGTTTACTCTGCTAAGGGGAAGCCGGCCCAAAAAGTGCATTTTGAGAGAGAGTTGGTGCTCTCGGCAGTTTCATTTGTCTACCCCGCACGGCCTACTATTCGTATCCTTGACAGTGTTGATCTGCGTCTCAAGCCTGGCCAAGTCACAGGCCTTGTTGGTCCATCAGGGTCTGGAAAGGTAGGCAGATTATCTCATAAAAGTCTTGAAAGAACATGCTAACCTTACCCAACCATCAGTCCACCATCGCTTCTTTGCTCTTGCGGTTATACGATCCCACATATGGCAACATTAGCCTTGGGAAGGATAACTTGAAGTCCTTCAACCTTTATAGTTTACGTTCACATATTGCACTTGTCACACAAAATCCGGTGCTTTTCACTGGATCTATCCTCGACAACATCAAGCACGGTATTCCCCAGGGAGAACTTCAACATCTTACCGAAGATGAAATTCTTGCGCGATGTCAGACAGCGGCGACCGAAGCATACTGCGACTTTTTGGAGCGTCTACCCGAGGGAATTCACACCAAGATTGGAGCTGGCCCGCAATCGCAGCTCTCTGGAGGCCAAAAGCAGCGTGTCACTCTTGCTCGGGCATTAGCCAGGAACCCATCCCTACTTCTTCTAGACGAATTCACAAGCGCAATGGATGCCACAAGCGAGGCTGTAGTTCTCGAGAATCTACGACGTTCCTCGGCTGCGACCGGCCGAACCACCATCATCATCGCGCATCGGCTTGCCACTGTGAAGGATGCGGATCGTATCATCGTGATGCGAGATGGCACTATCGAGCAAGATGGAAATCACGAATCTCTTGTGCAACAAAGAGACGGTACATATGCCGAGCTTATCAGGGCACAGCAATTTGAGAAAGGCCGCCCATCTGCTATTTCGTCTACACGTTCGAGTCTACGACAATCTCACAAGGAGGACGAGCGAACGCCAAACGATGTTGAGGAACCAGACTCGAGAGACTTGAGCGAAACAGGCAATCAGTGCAAAATGAATGCTGCGGAGCTGATTGGGAGGTCATTGTCGTTGAGCCGACGTGAAGCACCGGCGATCGCCCTCGGTCTATTTTCTTCCGTGTTTAGTGGTGCGGTTATCATTGGAGAAGCGCTCATTTTTGGAAATCTGGTACAACTTTTGAACGACACGAGCGGGTCTGACGATACGACACGCCAAATTTCCTTTTACTGTCTGCTCTTCTTTATTTTGGCCATTGTCGCTTTGGCCTCGCACTCTTTTGGAAAGACGGCTTTTGGTATTGTATCCGAAAACCTTACGTTGCGAGCCAGAGACCTCTCCTTCCGGACCATCTTGCAACAGGACATTGCGTGGTTCTCCAAACCTGGACATTCTCACCACGCGCTCATGTCACGACTAAACTCGGACAGCGGAAGTATCAGCGGACTATCCGGTGTTATACTTGGCACAATATTTTCCATCGCAACGTCAGTGGTTGGTGGCATTATCCTGGCTCATATTGTAGCCTGGAAAATTGCTATAGTGCTACTGGCAGCTGTGCCTATTATGCTTCTCGCTGGCTTCCTCCGTCTTCGCATTTTGGCTATTGCAGAGGACCACCATCAGACTGCATATAATGGAGCGGCAGCCCTGGCATCCGAGGCAACCTCTTCAATGCAGATTGTCGCAGTATTTGGCCTTGAAGAGCATTTCTTCCAGACCTACAGGGAAGCAATTCGGAAACCGTACGAAGAGCATTTTCGATTTAGCGTGCTTGGCAATATTTTGTTTGCATTTTCTTTGTCAGTTACTTATTTTGTCTACTCGTTGGCCTACTGGTGGTAAGTAACACCATTTCCTGTTGCTATTACCAATCGAGAGACTGGTGCGCATGCATGACACGTAAGTTATATGCTAACGATGTGTAGGGGTTCCAAACAAGTACGCAGCGGTAATTACACGCAACGAGACTTTTTTATTGTACTTCCAGCGTTGCTCTTTTCCGCACAATCTGCAGGCCAGTTGTTCAGTCTGGCACCAGAAGTGGCACGTGCAAAAGCTGCCGCGCAGAGCGTATTCTCACTGCATGATGAAAAGCCCACGATTATGACAGAGTGC